ATCTCCCTCTCCTGCTCACACTGCCCTCACTTCCTCTCTGTCAGGTTCTGGAATAACCTTCTGGAGATCTTCTATGTACTTACAAATATACAAGTATTTTCACTCTCCTTCCCCTCCCCCCACTCTTACATTGTTCTGCAGCTTTTTCTTTACTCTGAACATGCTCTGTAAATAATCCAAAATCTTTGCAACTTTTTATAGCTCTTTATAGTATTCCCTTATTTAGGCAAATCATAATTTGCATTAATAAAATGATGTATAATTTCATACATATTCAAGTATATTTGTGAATACTTTCCTAGAAGTCAAAGGGTATGTTCATTTTTAATTTGATATAGTGTCAAATTGCTGTCTGCAGTAATTTAACAAGAGTGCCTGTCCCCATACATCTTTGTTAGTATAGTTTCTAAAATCTTTCAAAGTTGTCAGTTGATGTGAGCTGAAAAATGTATCATCATTGTAACTCTAATTTGCATTTTTAAAATTATAGTGATCTCAACTATGCTTCCATATATTTAGAGCATTTATGTTTTCTTTCCTATGAACTCTTCATATTCTTTCCCATTTTTCAAATAGGATAATGCTCTTCGTACTGATTTTTAAAGAAGTTTGTTTATAGCAGGTTTGACTTGAGGAATTAAAAATTTTTTAATGTAGCTAAATTCATCTTTCTTTTAAGGCATCTGGGTTTTGTGTGATGCTTAGAAAGCTTTAATTGGAGGTTACTGCAAAAGTTTTCCCATAATTTTTTCTAATAACTTTTTAACATAAATCTTTGTTTTATCTGGAATTAATTTTGTAGTAAGCACTAAGCTAAGAATCCAAATTAATTTTTCTTCACTGATCATCACCCTGATGTTCCAACTCCATTTATATATTAGTTAATCCATCTTTTCCTCACCGACTTGAAAAGCCACTGTTAACATATACTAAGCCCCTATTAGTCTGTGGATCTGTTTCTGGATCTATCTCTGGTCTGTCTAATCATGATTTAAACTCTATAACTTCTATTATCATGTCAAAGGGGTTACAACAGTATTTTAGGCTAGTGTTAGGGGCGCTGCTGGTATATAGCAAAGCTAACTAGGCCATATGGAGACAATTCTTAATCTTGGCCTAAATCATTCATCATCTAGCTCTTTGCCAACTACAACAACAGAGGGTCTGACACTTAAGGAGCAATGGGTTAGGGATGTCTAGACACCACATCCTGCTCTCCGTTAAGCTCATAACCACCCTATGAGGTAAGGTGCTCCTTGAGTTATTTTGGTCACAAGAAATAGAGATTCTCTGGAGCTGATTCAAATAATGAGGGGGGTCATTCTTTTCCTTTATAAAAAAGGGGGACATGAATCTCAGCCACCTCATCAGGAAAAGCCCACAACAAGATCTCCCAGGAAGATCTCAAGCTTTCTTCTTGGTAAAGTGCACATCATTTATGTAGTTTAAAAACATAAGCATACACAGCTCACCTGCCAAGGTTGAATGCATGCATACTTAATGACTTAGAGCAAACATACTAGAGTGCTGGCCTATGCCAAAAGCTGGGGAGGAAAAAGTTGCAAGCATCAAGATGGAAGGGTTAAAAAAATGAAAATGAAAAGAAATAAACTGCAAGTAATGGGACTTTTCATGAGCTGATGTGAGTATGCTATGCACTGAAGAATTGTGAATCATTTGCATCTGAGATTCTTTTAAAAATTAAAAGTCATAAGTCTGTTCTCTATATCTGCATCTCCATTGCTGCTCTGCACATAAATATCAGTATCATCCTTCTAGATTCCATATATATGAGTTAATATATGATATCTCTTTTTCTCTTTCTGACTTACTTCACTCTGTATAATAGGCTCTAGGCTCATCCACCCCATCAGAGCTGACTCAAATGCATTCCTTTTTATGGTTGAGTAGTATTCCATTGTATATATGTACCGCAGCTTCTTTATCCATTCATCTGTTGATGGACATCTAGGTTGCTTCCATGTCTTGCTGCAATGAACATTGGGGTAAGGGTGGGGGAGCAGGAGAGGGTGAGATAAATGGAGAGAGTAGCAAGGATGCATATACATGAACATATGTAAATAGATAGCCAGTGGGAATTTGCTGTATGACTCAGGGAACTCAAACCCGGGCTCTGTAATAACCTAGGGGTAGGGGAATGGGTGGAAAGTAGGAGGGAGATTCAAGAAGGAGGGGACATATGTACACCTAAGATTAATCCATGCTGATGTATGATAGAAATCAAACATTGTAAACCAATCAGCAATTAAAAATAAATAAATATTAAAACAACAAGAACAAATTAAAAGTCAAAATGTGAAACTCCAAGCAGTTCACTGGAGTCCTTAAGACAGGTCTCCATTTTGGGGGGCAGGTTATACAGGGATTGATTAGAACTCAAAGAGGCAGTGGTGAGCTCTTCTCATAGGAAGACTAGAAAGAACAGGGCAGCCAGGTCTCATGGACACTGAGCTCCTTGTGACTCAAAGTAAGGTCCATGAACCAGAGGCATGGCTCTCACCTGGGAGCTTGTCAGAAATGCAGAATCTCAGGTCTCATGCCAGACCTGCTTAATCTGAGTCTGCCTCTTAACAAGACACACAGGTAACGGGAAGAAATCATTAAAACTTGAGAACCTCTGCTCTAGGATATAGTTTGGGAAGAGGAATGTTGCTTAGGATCCAGTACAACCCAACCTACTGAGCCATTTCCTTGTCCATCTGTGGTGGTCCTCATAGCTTTTACTGCAGAAGGGAAACAAGTTTGAGAGGATTCAGGATGTAGCCTCAAGGAAAGTGATCAGAATACAAAGAAGACAGAGGTCACTGGATTTGGAAAGGACTGGAAGCTATGAGGTCTGGAAGCTATGAGGCCAGGGTGTTTGGTAGCTGTCCCTAGGGCCATTGAAGTCTCCCAGGATTCTGCAGGACTTGGAGAAGACAAGAAGACTATATTCCAGGAGCCGAAAAGGGAAGGAAAGACTGGGGGTGACCCAGCAGGTGGCCATGAGTCTTAATGGAGTGGGACTTTTACTCAAGGAGAGAGCCATCACCGGCCATGGGAATGCCAATCTCACTTACCCACCCTCAGGTCTGAAGTGTGTGGGAAGAGAAGCCTCTAGAGGAGAGCTAGGATTCAGGTAAGGGCCAGCAGTAAAGGACACCTTCTTTGGGGAAGTTGATGCAGGAGAATTTCCTGGTACAAAATGGGGCTCCACAAGGCATACTGTGGATACTGAGATTTGAAAAGAGAGGTAGAAAATTAAATGGAGGACAGCAAACTTGGAGTAATCCAAGGAAAAGATGTAGGAGGAAACGGTTGGAGGGAAGACAATATTTGGGGAACAGCATCAGTCAGGATAAAGTGGGTTACACTGCTTCACCCCAACATTACAGGTTGACATTACCTCTGTTTCCTGTCATCTTCACTTAGGGATCCAGGCTGACAGAAGCTGTCTCTGTCTTTCCATGATATAGCCAAAGTTCAATTCTTGGTGTACACTTGCTGAATTTTCCCTTGAACAAAGCAAGTCACATGGTCACATCTAAATTTAAAGGGATGAGGTTATGCAATCCTGCCGTGAACTTGGAGAACTAGAAATATTCTGTGACTAGAACTAATGACTACCACAGAGAGTGACTATAATTTGTGGGGATGTGAGCCATGGGGTGGATGAAGTTTTAGGTTTAATAAAATTAAGTTATAGAACAGAGCTCTGGGAGAGTCATGTTGACATGGAAAAGAGCCGCCATCCACTGGTAGTGGCTGAGTCCTGATGACACCAGAAGCTTGTGCCTATCTGTAGGCATGAGTTAGTTCTCAAGATATTTCCAGAGGCTTAGTAATCAGAAATCGACACACACACACACAATTTCCAGAGTGGTATATCAACCCTGCTCTGTGTCCTAAAAAGTTGGTCTTTGTAATTAATGGTTTTGTTTTCAGGCTAAAGAGATACTGGATAAATAACTGTCTCAGCTAAAAAACAAAGAACAGTGATGTACTGTTCTGTATGTTTTAGCTGATACTTTAATCTCGACTCCCTGAACTCCCGTGTCTCCTTGAGACATCAACCAGTGTTGCAAGTGGGAGCAGCCAACCACACATTTTCTCTGATGGCTAAAATCCCATCAAGTGATGTCACACTGTCTTCTCTGATATGATTTAGAGAAGCAAAGTTTTAATGTTCTTGGATTGACCAACGAGCAAGGGTCTGTGGCTAGTTGGAGTGCTAGCCTACTAGTTCTGCAGAAATATAAATATTACATCACAAATGTTAACCTCTCTGGGTTCTGGGACTATAGATCTATATAATCTGTTGTGATTAGGCCATCAGTTTATAAATTTCCTGTGTGGATTACTTTGAAGGAAGCAGATGCTAGACCCCAAGACCTTTGAAGCAGTCAGATAGGGGATATTGTTGGCTGTCTATCACATCTTCTTTTCCCTAAAAAACCTGATATTGTTTGGTCCCCCTAGTGCACCAAATGACTAGGGGAAGGTAACCCTGTCATCAGCTCCAGGGATGAGCCCTGACTGATCTAAGCCAGGTGTCTCAGTCTTGGCACTCTTGACGTATTGGATTGGATAATTCTTTGTTGTGGGGACTTTTGTGTGATTACAAGATGTCGGGCAGCATCTTTGCTAGTAGTATTTCCAGCCCTAGTTGAAACAACCCAAAATGTCTTCAGATATTATCAAATGTATGCTAGGAGGCAAAATCACCCCCCCTAGTAGAGAACCACTGAAGTAAATCAGCCATGATAATCTTACTCTTCTTTCAAGATAACTGAGTTTAGAATGGGTATATGGCAATTTGACTAATGAAATTAAGGGAAAAGAAGGCTACTGGGTAGTTTCAGGATATGTTTTATTCCCTTATGAGAAAGAGACCCGGGAGGAGATAAGTCCTTGCTCTTTCTCTGGATTTTGTAGTTTGTGGATGAAATCTGGATACGTTGTAGCATGAAGATGAAACAAACTCAGAGAGAAGGACAAAATCAAGAGATTCCCGGAGAAGTGGGGCAAGAGTCCTGATACACCTGCCAGGAGCCCAGCCCACCACCAGGCAGATTTTTATTAGAAACAACAAGTATTTTTATTGTTAGAGCCAGAGTGTTTTGTTCCTTGCACCTGAAATCATCTGAACTGAAGTCATTGGGGAGAGCGGCACAGAGAGAGGTAGGGCCCTCCCTCATTCCTGCTGGGACAATTGCCTTCTTAATTAAAAGTAATAGATTTCCCATAATGGCAACCCACTCCAGTATTCTTGCCTGGGAAATCCCATGGACAGAGGAGCCTGGCAGGCTACAGTCCATGGGGTGGCAAAGAATCAGACACGACTTAGTGACTAAACCACCACATTTCCCGTCGTTGAAGCGATAGGACGTTAGGGAGTTTACTTGGATTTTTGGCAAGTTTATAAATAACCTGAGCTCCTCCTGTCTAGAGGACAGGGATAAGGCAGCTACAAAGAAAAGGACTAGATGATGCTGGGCCAGGAACAGATACAAACATCAGAGAAGCATAAATGGGCCAAGCTGTGCTAAGTAGGTGGAGGAGTCAGATTTCAATGCCAAGACTGACGCAGGCTCAGCTGATCCCCCAGCACTGAAGCCAAACCCCCAGGTTTGCTTATACCCTGCTTTTTTTTTTTTTTTTTTTTTTTAACCATTGGCTGCACATTGGAGTCACTCAAGGAACTTTAAAAAATGTTGATGCCTGGGTCCCCTCCACCGTCTCCGCAAGCTTCTTATATACTTGGAATGCTGTGTGGGCTGAGCATCATTTTTTAAAACCTCAAACTTTTCACAGTTGGTGGATTCAGGTGTCTAAGCCCAAGTGCTTTCCATTCTATTGTGTTGCCTTTACACTCGTGGGTACGTTTCTTATTTCTATCTTTGTGTGTGTGTGTGTGAATAGATAATTCTTGCACCTGGTGCAAAAGACTACACAAACACACACAAAAAGCCTGCACAATACAGTTTCTCTCCCATGCCTGTCTCCCAGTTACCTACGTCCTCTGCCTAGAGGAAAGTTTATGACTGTACTACACAGGCATATGTTTGTTTTTGGTTCTTTTTATACACTAATGATAATTTTGTACACATACTGCTCTATAGCTTGAGTTTTTGACCTAACTGTATCTTATAGATCATTTGATATTAATACCTAACCTCTTTGTTTTTTATTATGTGACGACTAAGTAATTCCATTGTATGGATGGGCTTTCATTTACCTAACCAGTCCACAATTGATAGGGTTCAGGTTGGTCCTGCCTGGCCTTACTATGACAAATTATGCCCCAGTGTATAAACTTACATGCATATGTAGGTATGTCTGTAAGAAAAATGGGATCTCAAGATCAATGGGTAGGAGTGTTTGTAATTGAGATCTGTGTTAAACTGACCTCATGGAGGCTTTGCTCTGTCAGCAAATGTGCTGGAAGAAAGAGCACGTCCTAGACTTGCCTGGAGGTTCAGTAGTTAAGATTCTACGCTTCCAATGCACGGGGTTTGGGTTTGATCCCTGGTTGGGGAACCACAATCCCACATGCTGTGGTCCGTGCCACTCTCCTCCTCCCCAAAAAGAAAGAGTACCTCTGTCCCTGTGGTAAGGGGTGTTATCACTATTTGATTTCTACTGAACTGATGGGTAAAAAAATGGTACAACAATATATTTAAAATTTGCATTTTCACTACTCTGAGTGATGTTAATCATCTTTTCATATGCCAAATAGTCATTTGTTCCTTTCCTATGAACTTCTGTTTGTATCCTTTACCTAAGAGTTCTTGATTTCATTTTCTTATTAACTTGAAGAAGCTCTTTTTATAGTCACCACTCTTTCAAAGAGCAGTCCAAAGGTGAGAATCACTGTCTTAAGTTTTTCCTGTCTCCATCCCTCACATTCAATCATTGATCATGTCCTGTTTGGGCTACTTCATGCTCTTATCACTAATTTCACATCTTTGTCTTCTGTCATAAGCCCAGTAGTGGCATTCAGCATCTTTCCCCCGGACTCTGGTCTCACTTCCCACCAATCCGTCCTCCACATTGCTTCCAGCCTTGGTGCTATGCTTTTGAGTGCTGATGGGATTCTTTTCCTTCCATTTTGTCTGAGCCTTCTTGGCCTAACTGCCCAGCTTCCTTCCTGCCAATCCCCACTGAAATCTACTCTCTAGACCAGAGCACTGCATGCCATTCAGAACAAACCAATCCTTTCCATAACTCCAAGACTTGGCATTTGCTGTTTCTGATATGTGGAATTTTCTTTAATCACTGAGTTCTTATCAGATAGAAAACTTGATATTATGAGTGATGTGCTTAGGTAACTGGTATTCAAGATCCACCACATATGAGGCTCTGAACTAAAGTCTTTGCATATCACGTCTCATGATCTCCACTTTGCAGATAAGAAAAGCTGAGCTCAGAAAGGCTTGAGACCACACAGTGTTCCCAAGTCAGTTTCAGCATACTGCTATGCTCTTCTCAGGCAAACTGTTTGGGGGATAAAAGCCCTGTGGCCTTCAGGATAAGGGGATCAGACACAAGAGCCCTCACATTTAGAATGGTACCGCACGGGGGCTTCCTGGCAACATTTCACAGTGGCCTTTTCCCCATTTACTGTTGACATTGACTATATCTGTGGACAGAAACTGGGTTTCAGAGTATTGTGGAGAGGGTGAATCTTCCAGCCAGGTCAATTCATTTATGGTTAGTTTTCCTGCCGTCATTTAGTCTGCTGACTACTTTCTTCTTCCTATTGAATATAAATGCTCTATTTCTAATGTTCACTTGCTTTTTAGATTTCCCTGGTGGCTCAGACGGTAAAGAGTCTGCCTGTAATGCAGGAGACCCGAGTTTGATCCCTGAGTCAGGAAGATCCCCTGGAGAAGGAAATGGCAACCTAGTCCAGTATTCTTGTCTGGAAAATCCCATGGACAGAGGAGCCTGGCGGGCCACAGTTCATGGGTCACAAAGAGTCACACATGACTGAGTGACTTCACTTTCACTTTTTAGATTTCACATATAAGTGAAATCATATGGGTCTGACTTATTTCACTAAGCATAATACCCTTCAGGCCCATCCATGTTGTTGCAACTGGCAAGATTTCATTCTTTTTTTTTAATGGCTGGGTACTATTCCATTGCACGTACATACATCTTCCTTAACCGTTCATCTATGGGTGGGCGCTTAGGTTGCTTCTGTATTGTAGCTATTGTAAACAATGCTGGAATGAACATAGGGATGCATATATCTGTTCAAATTAATGTTTTTGTCTTCCTTGAAAAAATAACCAGAAATGGAAATAGTGGATCCTATCATAGTTTTTAATTTTTAATTCTTTGAGGAACATCCATACAGTTTTTCATAGCGACTGCACCAATTAACATTCCCACCAACAGAGCTTGAGGGTTCACTTTTCTTCTCATGTTTATCAACATTTATTTGTTGTCTTTTTAATGATGGCCATCCTGACAGGTGTGAGGTGATATCTCACTGTGGTTTGGATTTGCATTTCCTTGATGATTAGTGATGCTGATCATCTTTTCTTGTGTCTGTTGACCAACTGCATGTTTTCTTTGGGAAAATGTCTATTCAGGTCTTCTGCCCATTTTTAAAATGGATTGTTTGTTGAGTCGTATGAATTTTTGTGCATTTTGGATGTTAATCCCTTCACAGATATACTGTTTGCAAATATCTTCTCCTATTAACTAGATAGATTTTTCATTTTGTTGATGGTTTCATTCACTGTGCAAAAGCTTTTTAGTTTGATGCAGTGTCATTTATTTTTGCTTTTGTTTCCCTTGTGTGAGGAGACATATCCAAGAAAATATTGCTAAGACTGACATTGCCTCTGTTTTATTCTAGGAGTTTTATGGTCTTACACTTAAGTCTTTAAACCAGTTTGAGTTTATTTTTGTATATTGTGTGAGAAAGTGGTCCAGTTTGATTCTTTAGCAAGTAATGGTCTATTTTTCCTAACATCATTTATTAAAGAGGAGGTCTTTTCTCCATATTATGTGCTTGCTTCCTTTGTCATAGATTAATTGGCCATGTAAGTGTGGGTTTATGTCTGGGCTCTCTATTCTATTCCATTGATCTATGTTCTATTTCTGTGCCAGTACCATACTGTTTTGAGGACTGCTGTAGCTTATGGTACAGTTTAAAATCAGGGAGTGTGATACCTCCAGTTTTGTTCATTCTCAGGATCATTTTGGTTACTGAAGCCTTTTGTGTTTCCATAGTTTTAGAATTTTAAAAAATTTTAGAATTTTTTATTCTGTTTCTGTGAAAAATGCCATTGGTATTTGATAGGGATTGCACTGAATCTATAGATTGTTTTAAACTTTGCAATGTTTCACATTTAGTGACTACTGGGTGTGGTGAATGTGTTGCCAAGCTTTGGGCCTGCCCAGTCCCTTTGAACACCCTTCTTAATTTAGGACTTCTCCAAGTTGTGACTCCTGACCCTGTGGGCCTGCTTCCCCAGCTTCCCTTGAATCTAGGGCATTAGTATGTGGTTCAGGCTCTGGCAACCAACTGTAAGATGTCACTTCAGAGGCAAATACCATAAAGAAAGGGGTGCCATGTAGATTTCCTTCTAGCAAGGGTGCTGACAGATCGATATATAATCATCTAAGGTGGCTGTGGCATATCGCAGCTGTAAAACCCTATGCTTATCATCAGGTGTTGGGCAGAGAAGCCAGAGCCTGGTAGCTACGGTAATAGCATATTCACCAGCAGAGTTTGATGGTATAATTTGCACATTATGCTTAGCTGGCTAGTCTCTGAATTTGATTCTCTGATCCTCCTGAAGATCCTGAAAGGGACCACAGATTCTTCAATAAACTCTTTTTCTGCTTAAATTAGCTTGACGGTGTTCAGTTTGCAACTGTGACAGATAAAATTAGATTGTTGTGTACCCTGTGGCTTCAATTTTTAAATTGCAACTGCTTTTAAACGACTCTTCTCTTCCAATCTCTCAAATTCACACACTACAATTGAACTGTGAAACATAAGAAATTTATGCATATCATTAGGGCCCAACATTAAAGACAACACAAAGCAGGTAGTCCTAAACACTTATATTCAGGGCAGGCCCGCTCTCAGTCTTAATATTCTCTAAGTAATCCCATCACTTGCAACATGTTGCAACCTTGATAAATTCCAACCAGTTAAAGGACATTTGACAAAGAGAGTGGCCTCTTGCCAAAGCGGTCTCTTCCCAGGGCAGCCCCCTGAAGTCTAATGGTCAGGCTCAGGTCAGCCCGGTGTGAGGCAAGAGGCAGCCGTGTGTAAAACCTGGCGTCATAT